TTATCTGATCTCCAACCTTCCCTTTTTAGGGAAAGTTGTGGAGAAAGTGGTCACTTGATAGCTTCAGAAGACCCTGGATGAAACAAATTATCTGGACCCTTTCAATCAGGATTTAGGCTGAATTGTGAGACGACTGCAACGTTGATTGCATCCTTAGATGAACTTTGGTGGGAGCAAGATAGGAGTAGTACATCCTTCTCACAGCAACCTTTGATACCATCAATCATCATATCCTTCTGGACCAGTTCTGGGAGTTGGGGATGGACAGCAGTGTATTCCATTGATTCTCCTCCTTCCTCAACTATTTATTCCCCTTTAACAACTATACAATGTTTCTTGCAGTCCTTGTACATAGAATGAAGTAGTTCACATATTTTTCTCTGGTAGCATAGCCATTATCCAATGCTGGTGATAGCAATTTTGATAATCCTGATTTCTTTTCTTGGTCATAGAAAGGTTTAATGACTGGCTCAAGGTCACTCAGCCAGCTTTCATGCCTAGAGTGGGACTAGAATTGTACTTTGGTGCCTGAATCAATTCATCAAACTGATTCTGAAGATCCATGTTGTAAGGAATGGAATTCCTTGTACTGTATTTCAGTACTTAAGTATTTCAGCTTTCTTGAAAATCTATATATAATCTAGATGATGGTTTGGCTTTTCAAATTAATGCATCTTGAACACTTTTTGGTGAAGTTCTATTTCAGCTAACAATCAAGAAATGGCCATAAAGATAATCTATACATGGCACTATACCTCAGTGAATGATAAACAAATTGGTATATATAACCATTTTGGGTCATAATGATCAATTAGTCTTTTTTGAAAGAATTAGGAAAGTCAGCACTCTTTCATCATGAATCCTTTTGGCTTAATGTCCATATTTCCTAAGTCACATACATTAATGCATCATTAAAAATCAATAATTATGGTTTTTGCTAGGTCTCAAATTTGTCATTGCATTACACTAGAAAATTTAAAGTGTAGGTTCATAAAACCAGTAGTATTTCAAAGTGTACAAATTGCTCTGAGAAATTAATACCAAATAATAAAATCCTTGTTTAAGTGTTACTTTCATGTATTCAGCACAACATGAAAGGAACAGGAACACATAGCAGAGAAGGAAAGAAATGTAAACTAACAAAGTCGCTTGGCAAGAAAGCTGGCTTCTAGTGGTTTTACTTTCAACAGGACACACAGAAGAGTAATCAAACTCCAGTGCAAAGTTCAAAGTCAGGTTTGGCAGCCAATCTAAAATCAGAGTTCTAGAAGCACTATTCACAGGAATGCCATACCCCAGAGCAGGAAAATCAGACAGTTGCGTCCAATGAAGAAACATAGCTCCAAGGCTACCTTTTAAATTAGGCCAGCTGATGATGCCAGCTGTCTTTAATCAGGAGAGCTACTCTCTTACTTGGCAAGGTGTTTCATTGAGTATCTGATATATTCACTGAATACAAGGATTTGGAGGTCTTATGTCAGTGGTTCTCAACCTGTGGGTCGCGACCCTTTTGGGGGTCGAACAATCCTTTCACAGGGGTCGCCTAAGACCATCGGAAAACACATATTTCCGATGGTCTTAGGAACCGAGACACCGCTTCGCATCCATCTCCGCAAGGCCTCCGCCGCCATTTGCACAGAGAGAGAGAGAGGCACTTTCGCCTCCCTTTTCTCTCTCTCTCTCTCTCTCTCTCTCAGGCGGACTTACCTCCTGCAGGGCTCCTGATTGGCCCTGCACCTGGGTGCCCCACCCCCTGGGAGAAGCGCGGCCAGGGCCTTGTGGCTTGGAGCTGCCCGGGGAAGCCCCGGGATCCCTGCTGGGAATAGCCTGCTGGAGGCTCCGCTGAGCGGGCCAGCCCTCCCACAAGCCACAGCCCAAGGGAGACCAGCCCCTGCGATCCCCAGCTAGCCCGACCATTGGACCCACTGGCCAGGAAGGCGCGCCGGAATCCAGGCTGCCGGGAAGGAAGAAGGAGATTCAGCAAAGGTAGTAGGGGAGAGCCGCCTCCTGGGGCCCAGCGCTGGCAGCGGCTTCCTTGCCAACCTTTTCCTCCTCCCCTTCTTCCTTCTACTACCCCCAAGGCGGCTTGGGTGGGCGCCGGGGCAAAAGGGGTGCCTGGGGGGAGCAGCCGGGCTGGTGAAGGGGCTGGCAGGCCACGCGGTACCAGCCCCCACCACGGCTCCATTGGATGGGTGGAGGGCGAGGCCGGGCAGCACAGAGTCCCGGCTGGGACAGCAGCAGCGGTTTTCTTGCCCTTCTCCTCTCCTTCCTCCTGCTGCCCCCAAGGCGGCTCGGGCTGGTGCTGGGGCAAAAGGGGTGCCTGGGGGAGCAGCCGGGCTGGCAGAGGGACTGGTGGGCCGTGCGGCACCAGCCCCCACTGTAGCTCCATCGGATGGACAGAAGGTGAGGCCGGGCAGCGCAGAGTCCCAGTTGGTGTGGCGGCAGCGGTTTTCTTGCCCTTCTCCTTCCTCCTGCTGCCCCCAAGGTGGCTTGGGCTGGCACCGGGGCAAAAGGGGTGCCTGGGGGGGAGCAGTCGGGCTGGTGGAGGGGTTGGCGGGCCGTGCGGCACCAGCCCCACCGCGGCTCCATCGGATGGGCAGAGGGCGAGGCCGGGCAGCATGGAGTTCCGGTTGGGGCAGTTGCAGTGGTTTTCTCGCCCTTCTGTCCTTCCTCCTGCTGCCCCCAAGATAGCTCAGGCGGGTACCGGGAGGAAGAGGGGTGCCTGGGGGGATCATCCGGGCTGTCAGAGGGGCTGGCGGGGGGGCGGCTTGGCCGGGAGCGACGGGGACCCCCAACGATGCAACAGTGGACACCGCCAGAGCCGCTGCCTCCCATCTTGCTCCCCCTCGCTCGTTCGGCTGAGGATGCAGCAGAGGCCGGTCTGGGGGCAGCGGGGACCCCCGACGATGCTGCTATAAGAGAGAGAGGAAAGAGAGAGAAACAGAGGAAAAGAGAGAAAAGAGAGAAAGAGAGAAAGAGAAAGGGAGGAAACAGAGAGAAAGAGAGAGAGGAGAAAGAGAAAAAGAGGAAAGAGAGAAATGGGGAGAGGAAAGAGAAAAAGAGGAAAGAGGGATAGAGAAAGAGAAGAGAGAGGAAAGAGAAAGGAAAAGAAGAAAGAGAAAGAGAGGAAACAAACAGGAAAAGAGGAAAGAGAGAAAGAGAGGAAAGAGGGAAAGAGGGATAGAGAGAAGAGAGGAAAGAGAAAGAGAAGAGAGGAAAGAGAAAGAGAAGAAAGAGAGAAAGAGGAAAGAGAAAGAGAGAGGAAAGAAACAGGAAAAGAGGAAAGAGAAAGAGAAAGGGAGAAAAGAGAAAGAGGAAAAGAGATAAAAAAGAGAAAGGGAGGAAAGAGGAAGAGAGAGGAAAGAAAGAAAGAGAAATGGGGAGAGGAAAGAAAAAGGAAAGAGGGATCGAGAGAGAAAGAAGAGAGAGAGGAAAGAAAAAGAGGAAAGAGAAACAGGAAAGAGAAAGAGAGAAACAGGAAAAGAGGAAAGAGAAAGAGAGAGGAAAGAGAAACGGTGAGAGGAAAGAGAAAAAGAGGAAAGAGGGAAAGAGAGAGGAAAGAGAGAAAGAAAGAGAAAGAGAAAGAGAGGAAAGAGAAACAGGAAAAGAGGAAAAAGAGAAAGAGGGAGGAAAGAGAAAGAGAGAGAGAGAGAGAAAGAGCGAGAGAAATGGCGCTTTTCCAACCAGGCTGGGCGGAGCCGGTGGAGCGGCCTTCCTGCCCCCTCTCCCCGGCCAGCTGGATGGGGGGTTGGGGGTCACCACAACATGAGGAACTGTATTAAAGGGTCGTGGCATTAGGAAGGTTGAGAACCACTGTCTTCTGTCATCATCTGACTGCTCCAGCTATTCTGATGATACCTGTGTTAAATCAATCTCAATTGCTTCCTGACTTAGTATCTCCTGAGGTGAACATTTCTTTGGTTTAGCCAGAATAGGGTTTGTTTTTTTTTTGGGGGGGGGGTGGTTTGGGGAGTTTGTATCCTGGGCCATGACACTGGGTCCCATCAGGCTCACATGAGAATTTGCCTCCTGAAATATTGTTAAAGACTAATGCTAGAGGTCCAAGCACTCCTCCCAACAATTTTACAACCTCCAGGGCAAAAGTATCATTTTCCTATCAGTCAATCTCTGCTAATGATTGGATCAGAAAAAAATATGGTAGAGATCAAAGGAGTCCTTGAGCTGGATCTGCAGAAAGACTGATCCAAAGTATGAAATCATTATTATGAAAACTTCTGCAGTAGCTCTTTCTGTTTTTCCACCATTCTCTCTGTTACACATAAGAAGTGCTTCCACTGTCAATCTTTAAGGCTTTACCTTCAAACATTTTGAAAGGGAGGTTAAGTAACATGCTATACTTGGAGCACCACTATCCATGCATAAACATGGCTATCAAGATAGGTTTGCATATTTTTCTATTCTTCCTTATAGACATATTTTGCTCTTTGTGCTTTTAATTAATATCTTTACAGAGTAGCCTGAAATAAAATTTGATGCTTTTTACCAGTGGATCAGTCTACCGAGATTTCTATGAAAGTTGTTCAGTTATGATTGTTCAAAGCTATTGCATCTGAATTCACCTCATGTTTAGATGCTCTGTTTTTTTATGCCATGTGTGAATATTTAACATTTATCACCAATATCTGGCCCACTAATTTGCTAATTTCTCATATCGTGTTGAAATCCTTTATTGCTTACATCTTTGACTCTAAACTGTTTATAAAAAAAGGCAAAAGCTCCTCCCCTTCAATATCCGTCCACAGTTTTATCCTTTCCTACTGAAGATAATAACCAGCCAGGAAAGTAGTCCAAGCTGACTCTGAAGCTCTTTCTGTCATTTAAATGGCAGATTATTCTAGACTTGAATAAGTTATTTGCTATTTTGGTTGTATGTGCGTATGCAAATATGTACTTTTATTAGAGGGGAGGGGACAGAAAACCAATTTGTTATATAAATATTTCTTCAAAAATGTAATGCTTGCTGTACAAATTCATTTTAGGAACATCTTCCATCTGTGTCTGATTTATAATGAGTGCCAAATCTGCTATCAATAAAGAGATTTTTGCACCACATGATGAAAGGATGCTGGGTGCAGTCCAAGTAAAAAGGAGAACGAAGAAAAAGATTCCTTTCCTGGCAACTGGGGGTCAGGGTGAATACTTAACCTACATTTGCTTGTCAGGTATGCTAAATTATTTTGAAATCCAGCTATCCTTTCAGTTTGTTTGTAAAAGTTGATTGATGTTGTCTGGGGATAAAAATAATGTAGCATCATGAATTTTAATTAGACAATTAAATGAAAAATCAGAGCATAAACCTTCAGTATTCATGCATTTAAATTATAAAGGTAATGTATGGTTAAAGTGCAGTATTGCAAGCAAACTCTGCCTACAGTCTGGAGTTCAATACTGACAGGGCTCAAGGTTGACTCAGCCTTCCATCCATCCGAGATTGGTAAAATGAGAACAGATTGTTGGGGGCAATAGTCTGTCTTTGTAAACCACACAGAGAGTGCTGTAAAGCACTATGGGGTGATATATAGGGCCAAATGCCATTGCTAATGTATCAGTGAAAAAATGCACCTGGATTTTTGGTATTGCATTAAGAAATTTCTGTATGTATATTTCCTATGGTCTTGAAGTAGAAATTACCATATACACTTGTAAATCAACCAAGAATTTTGAGCTGCCAAAAAATTGAGTTCATCTTATCTACATGTATATACTATAGACAGTACATATATTCCTCAGCCTATGAACATAATTGAGCCCAAAGTTTCGGTCATAAGTCATGATGATTATAAAGCAGGTCATTGCGTGACTGGACAGGCATCTCTTTTGTGGCAGTTGTTAAGCAAATACCATAGCCATTAAATGGACCCATTGTTTGCTATGGACATGTTTTGCTGGAAACGGAAAGTAAGCACCAGCTTCTGGCAAAAAAAAGTTGTAAAGTTTGCGTGGTCACCAACTCAGATCACCAAGTAAGATTAGATATTGCATTTAGAATGATTCAGGGTAGCTGATCCCAAATGTAAGCACTGATGAAGATTGCTGTTCTGATTGTCTCGTAGGAAAGTTATAAAATACTTCATCAAAAGGAATTGAGTTTGTAGATTGTATACTAGGCAAATGCAAAGGCCCAAATGCAGTGTGTGTATTATGCTATTGAGAGTTCCAGATTATAAATTGTAGATTTCAAAATTGTATTGTTGATTTTGTTTGTGTGTGTGTTAGTGTGCAACCTTTAGAGCAGGAGTTGGCAACCTTAAACACTCAAAGAGTCACTTGGACCCATTTCCCAGAGAAAATGGGAAACAATGGGAGTTGCAAAACTTGTGCTCACCTGGCAAACTGGCTTCACGCTTGTTCTCCGACAAGCTGACAGTCTTATTGGGCTGGCTTTCTCCTGCCCTTGGTCTACCAGTCCTCTTCCCCCACTCAATGAGAGAAAAAGAGAGAGAGTGAGAGAGAGAGAGTTGCTGTTTCCTGCTGAGACACAGCAAAGGCATGAGCCCCACCCAATAAGCTTGGCAGCTTGTCCGAGAACAGCGTGAGGCCACTCTCTTTTTCACATACACATACAGAGAGAGAGAGAGAGAGAGAGAAGGGAAGCGCAAGCGCCTCTCTCTCTCTCTCTCTCTCTCTCTCTCTCTCTCTCTCTCTCCAAATGGCGGAGGAGGCTGGGAGCCACAGGAAAAGGCTCAAAGAGCCACATGCGGCTCTGGAGCCACGGGTTGCCCACCCATGCTTTAGAGCAACCAGATCATTACTATGACGGTATGTAACTACTCTATTGTATTGGTTTTGTTGGCTTGTTGAGCTTTAGTGTATATGTGTTGTGCATGGTTTCTACATTGTCTTGTTTCTTGTTGATAACTGGTCTTTTATAGGTAGAGTTGGAAGTTAAGAAGAGCTGACAATCAATTAAATTATCACTTTTAGAAAAAGCAAAGAAAGAATATTTTTATCCATAGTCAAAAAAGTGCAGGCAGCAGTCCCCCTCTGAGGTGATCTTGCAGCCCAGGAAGATAAAATCTGTCACTACCTCCATTTCTTCCCCATCTATTTGCCAGGAATTGAGAGGGCCGGATGCCATGATCTTGGTTTTCTTAATGTTGAGTCTTGCCAACCTGTAAAAGTATAATGGTAAAAGATATTCCTCTTATGTTTTTAGACTAGTATTGTTGAAAACTGTAAAATGTATATTTAAGCATACATTTAGGCAGTTAATAGTGTTTCATTTTTTTTGCTGCTTTGATGAATATGCACTTCATTCCATTGCACCAGTGCTTAACTTTGCTTGTCAAATTAGTAATTTAAGCCTCATTGCTTTTACCTAATCAATTGGTATTTCATCTTTTAAACTTGGGCTGTTGAAAGTTTTCTTTTGGAGGAGCTTGGCCCCCAAAGCAAAACAAAGTCAAAATAAAGTTACCTTATTTACTTGTATACCTATAGCTTGGCATCTATGTACTAGTCAAGTCCTCATGTTATTTTTCAGCACTTTTGGGAACTCTCGGGGAGGGTTACTTCAATTAACGCCAATATGAGTGATTTGCAAACAAATCATGCAGAACCAACTTTATTTCCTTCAGATTTATTTAATATATCAGGGGAATGGCATAGACAGTGTAACTGCATCTCAGAAAAGCATTTGAGAAAGTCTCTCATGATATCATCCTAACCAAATAAAAAAAATACATACAGGATGCTAGAATGACTATTCCCAAATAATGTTTGTTAATGGTTTTATTTCAGCCTGATGAGACATATCAAGTAGTCATTTTTAGCAATGATTTTGATGAGAGTGTTGAGGATAAGAAATTTGCAGATTATACAGCAAGTTACAGAAAAATCCAGACCGGCTTCAGCAATGGACTGGAATTAACAGGGATAGAAGAAGAGGAAGAGGAGGAGGAGGAGGAGGAGGAGGAGGTAATGTTCTACATCTGGCAAAGGAGAATATAAGGCACTAGTATAGTATGGTGTTATAGGATAGAAACAACCTGCCTTGGCATATGTATATGTGAAAGGGATCTTGGAGTTCTAGTTGCCCCCATATTAAACAAGAGCCAATATTTGTAATATTGTGTTCATTTCTAGATGCCACTGTTCAAAAGGGAGAATTAGAAAAGTCATTCCCCAAGGTTTGATGGGGAGTCTGGAAACAAAGCCTATGAGAACTAGTTAAAGAATCTAGGTATATCTAACCTACAGACGTATGATAACAGTCTTCAGCTAGCTAAAGGGCAGTTGTGTAGAAATGATTCTTTATTGTCCTGGAGGGCAGGACCAGAATCAGTGGGTTAGAACTACAAGGAGGGTCAGATTAGAAGAGGAACTTCTAGGTTGTATGAATTGTCAGCCAATGGAATTGACTTCTGGACAGAGTGACGGTGAGTTTCCTTTGCTGAGGATCTTCAGACAAACACGGGATGGTCATTTGTTAGATATACTCTGGTGAATCCTGCACTGATTGGGGAACTTAAATAACAGTGAGATCATTTCCAGATCTATGATTCTATGATGGAATCCGCTCTGCTCCGAGAACTCTGGTTCTTGACTTATTTCTCTCTCAGCCTATGTTATGATCTTTTTTTTAAATGACACTTCATTTTTATAAGCTGAATTGTAGACCCAGTTGAAGAGAAAAGAATAGAAATACTTTAAATGTAAAAAGAATCATAGTAAGCTAATTCAGAGGTCACCAGGGCCCAGTTATGTGGAGAGAGGTTTTTCCGCAGACCGGAGGGGGCGTGGTTTTGTGTGCTGCCTGCATCCCGCAAATGGGGCTTTGCTTGTTTGTGCAGCCTGGTTGCTGGCATGCCACGGCCCAGTACCGGTCCACAGACTGGGGGTTGGGGACCCCTGTGCTAATTGTTTCAAATTGTATAGATTTATAGATTGCGCACCCAGTTCTAAGACAGGAGACTGACCTACAAAAAGAACAACTTGCCAAAGGTCTCTATATTTAACGTGTGTATCTCCCACAAAAAATATAGTGGTAAAATCAGTTCCACACATTCTTTTATTTTCTGTATTTTATTTTATAGTGCTTATAATCCTCCCCAGTTATGAAGTACTCTGAGTGACATACAGCATCAACAAACAGAAACTCAAAGACAGAATAATAAGTAAGGCAGTCAGAATAACCATAGAAACAAAAAGAACAAATATAAAAGCCAAGATAAATAGCCACAGTTAGGACTGAAAGTGCTTTTAAATAAAACTATTTCTATGTGTTTCTGGAATTGCAACAAAGTGTGAGCTGTACTTTCTTCTGGAAAGAGTGGGCTGTTACAGAGAAGGTCTGCCATTTCATTCATGCTCTGGGACCTTAAGTTGGGAGAGAATTTTCAGCAGATGTGCTCTCTCAATGATCAAATTAGACACACCAATTAAATTCTGGGTAGGCATTGCCTGATATATCCTGGTGTTCTGTTGAGGGCATTAAAAATAATAGCCAGCTCTTGGGTTTAGAAGCCTAATGGCAAACAAATGCCACAGTATTAATATTAGGTGTAATTCCTTATTTAACAGGGCTGTCTTGCCCATGATCTTGTTGCCATATTTTATATCAGCTGTAGCTTCTAGCTTGTCCCCAAAGGTAAGTTCGATAGAGCACCTTGCAATGGTCCAGTTCAGTAGAATTGCCGAATTAGGCTGAATGAGGATTGCTTGCCCTAACCAGTTTTGGTGACCTTCAATATTTTGTAGTTTTCCTAATGCAAAGTTAGTAGTAGTAGGATCAAAGGAGAGATTTTATGATCAAGGAGAAAAAAGTAAATGGGGAGGGAGAAAAGATATTTAGCCATTTTCTGTCTTGATCATGGCTGAGTCTGGAAAAAGATTGGAGAGAAGCTGGAGATCTAGAATTGTGAAATTGTGAAGCAAGAAATTTGGAAAACCACAGGATATTAACAACTTTGCTTTTTGAGTTATACATTCATATTCTGTAGTTGAGCATTTGCCTTTTAAAGATTTTTATAAATTTATTTTGGACATGTTTAGAGTTTAAAAGTGGAAATTCCTGCTCTAAAAAGCTTCTCTACATGGTAAAAAAAAATATTTAGTTTTTATTTTGTCATCCTGAAATAGGACAATGCCCACAACTATGTATATAAAATTGTTAGTTATCAAGTCAGTAGAATAGCTCTTTTAACATAAGAACTCAGCTATT